ATATGCTTGGTTGCTTGTGGTGCAGGTGGGAGTGACGGAACAAGTACAAAGCATTTATTTTATTTACAGCCTTTTATCCAGAGCTAGAGTTTTGTGCTTATCTACATGCTTGGCAGTCATAATGAATTGGACCTGAAAATCATATCATTGAGTAACCCAGACTTGGAAGAGAACTTATTAAGCTTGCTTCCAGATGACAAATTAACTCCTTAGCCATCATTATTATTAACAATTCTAAAGGACTTTCTAAATGAAAAAGTGGTAATTTATCTTGCTTGACCAAATTCCTCCTCTTAGTCATCTTAATTTCCTCTACAACTTCCTATATTCTTTTTCTTCTGCACAAAATTCCAGTATTAGCACTGTTTCGGCATGGGCTGTTTCAGGCTCAGTGGTGATGCACTGCCCTGAGCCTGTGTAGCTAAGAGCCAGGAAAGGTGGTGGTTCTGCCTTGGATGATTTCCTCAAGGTGAAATCTGCAGAAGATCCAGGGACCAGAGCATACACGAGCCAAAGAGGAACTGGGTAGCAAAGGAGTGCTAGACACTAGAAATCTAGGATCTGGAGACGAGGCATGGTCCAACAGCCAACTGATCAGAACTAAGGACATTCAAGCCCAGGGATTTGCTGCAGATCATGAGAAATGACTTAGGAAATTGTTACTCATGATGAGAGCTCTACTTTAGGTATTCTGATTCTTAGGCACCACCTTCTTCTTTTGGCAGCCAGCTGAACCTGCTTACATTTCCTGGGACTAAGTGGGACCCCAATGTCCATCTCTGAATCGGAAGGTGTCTCTATGCATTCTGAGGGTATAGATCTCTTGAGGACTTAGTTTCCTCCCAAACACTGCCAGGCTTCTTCTCTGTGATGTTCAGGTCAGGAATATCTAGCTCATCCTTCAAGGGTATGGAAAGGAAAAAGTCTCATTGAACTCAGTACGACTTAATTTAGAGTATACATATGTATAAAGAGTCATCCTTTAAGACAGGTGGAGGTGCTGAGGATCTCCCAATGCTGTTGGATCTCAGTTTCCATTATGTCTTCCTATTGGCCATACTTGTTGACAGTACTCACTGTGGGATTTTGAGGGAGCTTGGGCAAGAATGGCACTTCTTCCTCAGTTAGTCTGCCTTCTCACCTCCATTGTCACAGCTGCATGTGCTTCTCCTGCTCCTCTTCATCTACTTGTTTGCTTGACAGGCAGAGAATTGAGTGCGCAAAGAGGCAGGAACTGAGTGATAGTCAAATAAACAAGCAAGTTGCAATGGCAAAGAAGAGGATTCTATTATCAATGAACCCCTATTACAATATAAGTCCTTTTCAGTTGCCCAACCTTGCCAACCCATGATATCAGCCTTGCTGTCTGGGGCAGATGAGCATCGGGGTCCAAGAATGTCAGGAAGGAAAGCAATTCTGTTTTTAAAGTGCTCTCTCCTCTAAGATTTGCTCCATCAAGTCATACAGAGTTGTTCATTGGTGTAGCACAGCCTGCATACAGCATTACAAAGCTGATGTTGTAAATATTGCAGCATTGACTAATATGCTGTACAACTGCTTAGAACTGACGTGCCAGAGCATCTGCAGTTTCAATATTGTAATGTAACATTTATGTAAATAATGTTTATGCTTTTGATTTTGTGGCATTTTCTTTAAGATTTGTGAATGTGATCTCATGAATATGCTAAATTTAGCATTGTGATCATGTGAGGCTTCTCTCTGTCATTCAAAACATTTTGCGTTCTGGCTGGCTACTTTCTTGTAATTTTGTTTGGAGTACATTCTACATTGCAAATGTCCCAGATAATGCTGAGGTAGAAGTCAGTGAGGTTATCGTAAAACTGATTATCCTAAAATTGATCATCCAAGTCTAGTTGTATTCACAGATGAGAGTAACTTTTTTGGCACACAGATTTTATGAATGGGCAGTCTATACCTGTATGCATCTCCCTACTGCCCAGAGCAGACTATATGATCCATTGTTACAACTAAGAGAACTTATTGACAATTCATGTCAAAAATCAGTAATTATGAATCAAACTTTATGCTCACTGATGCAGACAAACCATAATTTATCTTGTATGTATATTCTTTATACATATATTCTTTCTTATGGTTTTTGTGAGGAAGGGCAGAATATCAATCAAAACTGTCAGTTGTTAGGGACATTGCTTAGCTTCCAAGTGCTATTATTACTACACCTGGAATGCTGACTTGGAAAAAAATAAGCAGACAAACTATGTCTCTCGTATGCATTCTCACAGTTTGCATTCTCAACTATGAGCATCATGATTTAGCACGATGTTCTACTGATTTACTGACCTGACTGGGATGTAAAGCAAGGATCCCCAAACCTTTTGGGATGACAGACAGAATGAGAATTTTGAGTATACATATGTGAGATTTCTCTGTATATGTTCATGCATGTTCCATGGGGAGTGTTTGCGCATTCATGAAATGGCTGCCATACAGGGGCAGGGGCAGAAGGTAAAAGAAAAGTAGCATGCCCAAGATCCTAAGTAAGAGGCAGTGGCAGGATCTGAGTTCCAAAGCACAAAACAATTCTCTGGAGTCTGCAATCTTCAATTCCAACCAAAGGGAATTCCAGCAAAAGGCAAACTGATGGTCCATCAGTGCATTCTTACCTGGACGGACAAAATAGAGCAGCCAGGCTATTGACAGGGACTGCTGCAAAATAGAGCATATTGCCAGTCCTGTACCAATGGCTACCAACTGAAGACTGAATCTGATTTAAGGTGTTAACAATGGCATAAATGGCCATTTAGGCATCCAGCCCTAAATGGCCTGGATGCCTAAAGGAACACCTCCTTCCAAATATACCTGCTCGGTCCTGAAGATCTTCTATGGAGCTACTTCTCCAAGAACCCTCTTTGAAGGAAGTGAGGAGGGCTGTTACAAGAGAAAGGCTTTTTCAGTGGTGGTGCCTGCTTTGTGGAATATGCTCCCTAGAGAGGTTCATCTGGTGCCGACTCTTTATTCTTTCTGGTGCCAGGCCAAAACATGTTTATTCAACCAGTTTTAATTGTTGATTCTAATACAGATATGAGTTAAGCCTATTTTAATCAAAGACTGTAATTTTTTAATGTTTTTAGCATTGTAAACCATCTTGAGATTTTCTATGAAAATATAGACATTACAGGGGAGGGAGGATAAATAAATAATGAGATTCAGGGACAAGTAACCTGGTCAAGAAACTGAGTACAAGGGAATGGAGAGTTCTGTGCACTGAAATACCAGATCATGTATTTGTCTTACCTTAATGCAATCCATTTTGCAGATGGCAAATGGATGATGCCGAAGAAATATTCACTTATATACATGCATATGCACACACAGACTAAATGCCTATTCATCAAGCCCAGCATACATACATTTACACACAGAGAGCACAGAATAGATAAGCCCTTTTCCCCTTCCTTTCCTTTGGTACATCTAAATGTCATTGAAAAGCCTCTGATTCTGTCCTCAGCTAATCACACTTTGAAAATGGGAAAATGGGGCAGACTGGCAAAACACATCTACAGCTTGTTTCAGCTATTCAGGATATGAAACTGTGGTTTTGGAAGGAACAAAGTCTGCTTTGTGAAAAATGGAGGCAGAGGCTTGTGATCTCAGGGCTTTCCTGGAAAAGTGAGGTTCAAGGGGCAATGCATAAACTCAAGACTCATTCATATGGCTTTAAAATAAGGATTAGTATCATGGTTGAAGATGGGCACTAATGACCAAGGGTATTAGTTATTTAGTTCTTGTACTCTGGCTTGTATGGCCATCAGACCCTCAAGCTGTTTTGCATTTTAAAACATGCAGTTTAAGCTCACTCATATCTCTGACCTCAAATGTTCTCAGAGTGTTAGCCTGCACTATGGACCCATTGTTGTGCTTGCTGTATTTGTTCATCCCTCCTCTCCTCTCCTCTCCTCTCCTCTCCTCTCCTCTCCTCTCCTTGTGTGCGTACCAAAGTCATTCCATCCTTTGGTTTTAAAAAGATTACTGCATTGATGACAATAAAAGAAGCAGGTGATAGGAAATAAATAGCCATGTCATTATAAAGCAGGGCTGCTTATTCAGTTTAATTTTGAATGTACTGAGAAGCAGGCTGTTGGACCTTGCTGAATCCTATTTCTGAATCTCTCATGCTCCTCTTCCCCAATCTTCTCCTATTAATACCCTTCTGGACCATTCAGTCAAGTTCATATATGAGATGGTGTGAGCTATTGCCTTTGTCTTATGAATGGTGGCTCCAATCTTTGCTTTTCTTGTGATCTTTGTGCCATTATGCTGCAGATGTCCATTCATATGCAGTGAGAGTGCATCATCATGCAGCTATTCATGATGTATCAAACAATGTCTTTCTTTCTTCCCTCAGAGTCTAGTTGAATAAACTAATGTTTGTTGAACTGTTTGAATGATCCTGTTAGAAAGTAACACAGTTCACATTCTCAAGTTATGTATTTGCTTCCATATTGCATTCAATGATAAATAAGAAATACATGAACAAGATAAACCTGTGTACTCCTCAACTCAAATGAATCATACAGCCATATATATGGACAATGAACCATTTGACCACTTTCTTAAGTGTCCCTGTGCCAATCATGGTGGAATGTATATAGCAATTCCACAAGGCAGCCTCTAAAGCAGAGAGAAGTATATCATGAACAACATATTTTGAACAACATATCCCAGCAATCCTGACCGTGGCATTGGCTGGTAGGGGATTTGGGGAACTGAAGTTCAAAACATCTGGAAATCTGTGTTCTACTTGTACTTGCTCTATTGGCTTCACATGAAAAATTAGTTAAACAAAAGTGTTCCTTTTAAGACAGATTGCATTAATCAAAGTTAGAATTCCATGAAGGTCAAATTGTGGAGTGTGTGTTTTAATAAATTATGGGTTCCATTCTCTGTGGTACAGGTAAGGCAGTGGTATTTTCACTTATTAATGTGACTCTTCCTATTTCCATCTTGAATTTTTGCAGGGTGACTTCACTTGGAACAGCATGTCAGGGCACAGTGTTCGGCTGAAGTCTGTTCCTGTTCAAAGCCTTTCAGAATTGGAGCGAGCCCGGTTACAGGAAGTAGCCTTTTATCAGCTGCAGCAGGAGTGCGACTTGGGATGTCAGATAACTATTCCAAAAGGTAACAGTGAACCTCAATTCTTCTAAAGAAGTGCTTCTCAAACTGTGGGTTGTAGCCCTCAGCTACCCACTCTTACTGAGTCACTGGTGCTTCTTCTTGTCCACTCCCCAGGTTGCTGGCTGTATAAGAGTTAAAGGGAAGCTTTAATTTCTGTTCTGCTGCCCACTCCTCTTCCTTTACATGTTAACAAAAAACTTACTATTTTTGCCCTATTTGGAAAGAAATATACACCCCTTCCCCACAGACATTAACAGTGCAGTGCAAGAGGAGGAGATGATGTCAGAGCAGACTGCTCTGGATCCAATCAAAGTTATTTTTTCTCTTAAAATCCTGGGCAGGCAAATGTGGTTGAGTGGGAATGCCAGAGGAAGAGAGCTGAGCCGAATATGTCATAGTCACCAATCTTCTTATTTTATTAATAAAACGTCTCTCCCCCGCCCCTCCTTTCTCTCTGGGTTTGTGTGGGGAGGGGCAGAGGGAGGGAGAGAGAGAATTGGGCTTGTTTGCACAATCCCAGTAACAGAAATAAGCTACCATGGCTTAACTTCCAGGCTATGGTGGTTGGTGACATTAACACAGTTACTTTCTGCAATGAGCTGTGTGAGCCCAGGCACAGTGGCTTGCTGCCATAGTCAACAAAAAGTTAATAAAAGATAATCGATGTTAGTATGAAAACATTCAAAGAAATGTGGCATCAACAACCAGTCAATTTTAAGTAAAAGCAATCATTAGCAAGCAAAAGGGTGTTCTAATATTGTGGACATGATGTGCAGCCCACGTGGTACAGCTTTTCCTGTGTTGTCAATGTAATATGGGAAGCTATGAGAAACCCCATGGTTTCTCTCCATGACATGATTACTCCAGGACCTGGGAATATAAGCAATATATACTGATTGAGCTCCCATAGGTTCCCTGCCTTCTCATTCTGCTGGGGGTTCAACATTGCTGGAATAACTTTGGTGTGCCAGTGTGGTGTAGCAGTTACGAGCGTGGGTCTGAGACTCAGATAGTTTGGGTTCTAGTCCCCACTCAGCCATGGACTCCACTGGGTGACTTTGGGCCAGTCACAGACTCTCAGCCCAACCTACCTCACAGGGTGGTTGTTGTGGGTATAAGGAGGAGATGATGTAAGCCACTTTGAGTTCTTTAATGAAAAAAGGTGGGATTTAAATCTAATAATAAGCAAACAATCTACCTAGAACCCATGGGCAGTTTTAGGGTTCTGGGTTGACTTGCTAAGCGTGGCAACAGGCACTCTGGGCAGGCTGTCACAAAATGAGAAGTGGCACTGCATAGCATAGTTCGGGTAATAACCCTGTAATGAAACTGTTAGGTGCAGAGTGGTTGAAAAGCTATGGAGTGAACAGAAAGTTGGACTAGATGTGGTGTTGTTTTAATCCAGCATTACTTTCCTTACATGCTTAAGTGGCTTATTAACTGCCCTGCAATCACACAAACCTGGTGTCTATGTATGGGTGTGGTTTTTTTGTGCTGTGGTACCCTCTGAAACTAACAACAACAACACATTATAATTAATAAATAACAACAACAACAACACAATCCTATGCATACTTATTCAGATCTAAGTCTTATAAAGTTCAAGAGAGTTAAATAAGGCTTACTCATTGTGAAGTAGGTACAGGTGGCAGCCTTAGAAATTGTTGTGCTTGAAAGATAAAAGCAGTGTTTGTTTGGGTTGTATATAATGCTTGTATATCTTTTTCTTGTTTTCAAAGAAAACTGGACCAACTTTCTTTTACTAGCATGCTTTATCTGGTATGCAACTGGCTGAACTGTATTCTGTGTCATGTTTAAACTGCATTTTTTTTCTCTGCTGTTTTGATGTAGTTTGGTTAGCCAAAATGATTGCTGGTGGTGTGGGGGACTAGCTGGTTGATGAAGTACCTGTGAATGAATTGGTATCACATCATCTTTGTGCTTTGTGATGCTCTGGGTTATTTTATTTACGTCATTTTCTTCCTGCTTTTCGACCATAAAGGTTCCCTGAGTGGCTTACGTAGTTTAATAAGAAGGCAGTCACTGCCGTCAGGCTTACAGTCTGAAAGATTAAATACAAGAGGGAAAAGAATTGGTGTAGGAGGAAAAATGCCAAACTCGGGCATCATTTCTTCTTTTCAAAGATCAAGTAAGGGTGAAGCAAGCTTCTTGCTCAGGCTGATGTATAGGGCCAGGCTGGTCTTCCCATTGCTATGCTGTTCATCCAGCAAGGCAGGTGGTGGAAACTGTACTAACTTTTCATCCGCTGACTTTATGTGGTAGCCTGGGTTATGTTTACAACACAGAAGTATTCTTCTAGTTTTAATTTAGGCCTGCAGATGCAAACTCCATTTTTTGCGTACTGTCATAATTGTGCTATGATAAGAGTAAGGTTCAAGTGCAAGACTGCACAAGCTCAGAGTTGTTCTTTATTTAGCAGGGTTGGCAAACAGTTTTACAGTTTGGATTGATTGGTGGTCTGGGGCTTGGGTCCACCTCTTCCAAATAAACAGCATTCCAAGTTGGATACTTTAGTCTCTGAAGCTGAACTGGAAAAATGGGGTGGGGGGGAATGTTAATTTCCAAGGTCAGTGAGCTGTGAGATAAGCCAAGCAGCTGGTGAGAACCAGAGCATCCAGCAGTGGAACAAGGCATCCCATGGGGAGAGGTGTCACTTAACCAGCCCAGTGGTTCAGCCTCAGATCAAACAAGCAGGCCAATTCAGTAACATACAGCATTCCTGCCCTCTGGCCAGCAAGCAGTGGGAATTCTCTGAGGGTGGAGCCAATTCTGTTAGGGAAGGGAAGAGGGAAATTGAATTTAGAATCAACTCTCTGAAATGGGCTGAATGATCTACACAGTTAACATAATAGATGCTTCTTGCTAATAACTTTTATAATACTCATTCTGAATCACAAAGTCTGTCCTGTCTGGCTAACTTGACTTATTAAGACTTTAGGTAGATGTCTCTTGCCTTCAACTATGAAGAAATGGAAGAGAGACAGAGATTGATTGATTGATTGATTGATTGATTGATTGATTGGAAGGGTGTGGGGAGACCAGTGCATGACAGATGAGCGGGGGGGGGGGGGAATATGAATTGCACAAATTAGCAAGAAATTACTTTTTAAATCTGATTTAATTCTCAGTAGTATTATTTTCAAGAAGATATTCAGTATGTCCAAGCTTTTGTTTATTGTGGCGCTGCCTGGACCCACTGCCATTTTGTGACTGGTGGGTCTTAGTTATTTTCATTCCTCTTAAGCGGTTGCTCAGAATAAAAAGAACAGTTTTCCTAAGAGATAGTGATGAAATAAGATATCCGAATGGTAAAATTTGAGTTTTACCCAAATGCAGCCTTAAAAAAGGAAGTATATTTCCCCCGTTCCACCACAGGCTATAGCATGAAAATGTATATTTGGGAGGGGGAATTCATGCATTTTGGGGGGATTTTCATGAGTGCATATTTTTGTACGTTCATGCAAACAAAAGTTTAAGAAATTAAAAAGCCTCATTCCATCCATGCTTGGACAATGAAGCAAAAGCTACCTGACAATCCACAAAATACAGATGGAATAGATGTGATAACATCTATACATCCCTACCTTTGTCTCATGCTCAGTCTTTTGAGTTGGTTACTTGACATACGTAACTAGCCATGCCTTCTGTGGCAGTTATTTTGAGTTGGTACCTGGGATAGTTTCTCAAATAGTCAAATATGTTAATAAGACTCCAAAGGTGGTCTAGCCATATTTGCCACCAATCAATTAACTTTTAATTTTTTTTTTTAACCTAAGCCACTGAATATTCTAGGAATCTTCAAATACAATTTTCCAGGGAGACAGAGGCAGACTGTGAATTCAGTGGTTTGGTTGTGAGTTTTCGGGAAGCATCCAACTGGCCACTGTGGGAGAAAGGATACTGAACAAATTGGATTCTTTGTACAATTTATCAGGACTGTGCTTATGTTCTAGTCTGATCCACATGGCATATGGTTCAGATGTAACTTAGGAAAATTTGCAGCTTGCTGCTTATCTCTCACCTAAACTGCATAGACTCCATCATAGTTGAGAATAAAGACTTTTGACTGGGAAAATCAAGAACAAATCAGATGTTAGCTAACAAAACAAAATTATTTTATTTGGGAAAACAATATCTACTAATGTTGTTTTAGCAATCCTACAAAGGTCAGTGCATACGTGTGTTGTGAGTCAGAGCCATTTATGTCTCATTAAATGATTTCAGTATTTTTGTATTCCTCTTCTGTTTTAATATTGCCATGCCTAAAAGTAAATTAACCTGATAAATCACCAGCTAGGAAAGGGAAGAGGTTTTATATTGAGTGAAGCCTCCATTAATAAAGAAATCATCATGTCGATGTCCCAGCATACAGAACTGTATTATCCTAGTATTATTCTAAGCTTGTATAATCCTTCACTTATTTCTGTCCAGTGGCATTCATATTCCTAGTATGTATTGTTCTGAGAACTTTGGGCAAGATTTAAGTCATTTATAATGTACTTTTATCTTGGTAGTGTTTATTATCCTGTTTAGGCTTAAAAACAGTGTGCTATTAATGCTGAGTGTTATAACATTAACAAATACAAATGTGAATTCCAAGCTGAGGCATATAAAGTAGCCAATTCTAAAATTTTAAAGAAATTGCCAGCTTTGTTGAGGCATATGCATTATCAGAATATGTCTAGCAAATTGTATACAATATATCAGATATTTTTGTCATCTATATTTTTGCTTATGAGTATGCTGCTTTGCATGAGTTGCTTTCTTTTTATTTTTGTCCATAATCTCCATGCCAACTGAAAATACATAAAGATCCTGTCAATGCAAAGGGATATTCTGTTCTGTTCTGTTCTTACTTTATGTTCTTGTATTTGCATCACACTATGAAATATTCAAGATCTTAATGCATTCTTTGACTGTATTTGACTAGCCAGTTGACTAATTTAGATTGGCTGACCAATACTGAACCTTTAGTATATAAA